TAAATGTCTTGCTGAAGACATCATTAGGGGATATGCTGGCCTCTAAAGAGAGGAAGTTTTAATGCCTGAGGAAACACCTGTATATATGAAACTTTAAGCTCATTTCATTAAATCATTTTGCTAAGTTGCTTTAGGTTAAAATAACTATTCTATCAGCTTTCCAGACTGGTGCAGTATAGGTGCAAAGTCAATCTTTGGAAACCCGCCCTTCAAAAAAAAAAAAAAAAAAAGAAAGGCAATAACTATTCTCCTGTAAATGGTAATTACAGTGCTTGGCTACACATCCAATAGGAGGCTACCAGTTGTGCAGCAGATGCTGACTTCAATCCACAGTTTAAGAGTAGAAAAGCCTACAGTAATCTTTCCATTACAAAAAAAAATAACCTAAAATGAAAGTACTTCTACTTTTTCTTGTTCCATGGATAAGCTCCAAGGTATGGTTAATTCTTCTAAGAAGTATGCTACAACATCAATGAAGGTAAAGCAAAAGAGACACTCAAAGCCCTTCTCACTTGCCTGAATAATGGAAGACCTAAGGTGGTACCACAAATGATCTCACAGCTCACCTGTGGGGCTTTTCTTCCTTCTACAAATTCTACTTTGAAGAACCCAAAGACCATTTTAAAGCTAGCATAAGATGTGCTCACAATAGGAAGAATTGTAGAGCCCTGTAATATTCTAGTCCCACACAACATTTATGGCTCTTTCTAGATACCCATTGATTTGGTCTGGATCCTTGAGTCAGTACTTGCACTAAAAGGAAGAAAAACAGAAAAAACAAGTAACCCATGCCAGAGAAGGACCAGCAAACAAAACCAAGGTAAAACACAGTTATGAAGTGCTTGAGAACTGCAAGAAATGTACATGAAAAAATCAAGATTACTGAAGGAAAGACTAAGCCACCTTGTGACTCAAATGAGTGAAATCTCTTCCACAAAGTCTCTTTCCATCAACTAAAAAATAAACTTGCAAACAGGTGAACATTAGTTTACCGAACTTTGGAAGAAATCTGTCAATCCATAAATATCAGCAAAAGACTAAATACCTATTAATTATTACAATGCACCAATAAATAAAATAAATTTTAAGAAGTGTCAGAAGAAATCTGCTGAAGTAATCCCTCAAGTGAATACTTAAGGGAGAAGAGTGTTATTCTACTTTGAATTCTACTTATAAGTTTCTTTCTGGGTTAAAGTAGAGCACAACAGTATCTGAAGCATAATCTATATATAACACACAAAGATATACATTTTTACTTAAATATTATCTCATTGATAATTTAAAATACAAACTACTTGAAATTAACTAAAATTAGAATAAAACTTCCACTTCAGAGACTCAGAAATAAAAGAAAATCTCCTCTTGTGAAAAATAGGAGCATTAAAAAAACCCCAAACAACTATTTTAAGAGGTACTGATACAGCCTCTTCCATATTCTTCCTACTGGGGGAAAAAAATGGTACACTGCAACACTAATAAAACCAATCAGTTCTCTAAGACTCAATGTAACTTTTTACCTTCTTGGTAGAAGTTTCCGTCCAGGTGCAATTACTTCATATGCTTTTAGCAGTAAGATCCAACACCAGTCCCAGTGTCTTGAAGTTGTATTAGGTACACCGACTCATTCAGCTACACATCTTCCATCAGTTAACACAGAAGGCACAATGGAAACAGGCTAAGATAAACAGAAGACAAAAATCTGAAATCACTTCTTTATGGAAAAGCCAGCGTTAAAATGAATACTTTTACTATTAATTCAAAAAGCTTTTGCTGACCCTCAGAAAGAACCAGACTGACTCACATCTCAGCTACAAACCAGAAATCACACCAAGAGTAGAACCCAAAACATGTATCCATCAACTCATTTAATTCAGGTATTACAATTTATTTTGCTAGGCCGGTACATGATGTTTACGTACAATTCAGAAAACAAATCACAAAGCTAATATGGATGTCTGCCCATGGGCCAGAGTAAACTGCCCCATAATAGAGACCACAAGTTTGGCTAAAGGCCACCAGAGGACAGTGGTCCAGAGCACTGCAGTTGTACTTCAGAGCTCAAAGAGCTTTCTTAGTGCTTCCAAACCAGGATTCAGAAGTCCTATGAAAAGATTTAGGCATCCTGTATTTCCATCCTGGAAGGAAGGGGGATGGTGTGTGTGTTGGATCTTTGTAAGGAATACTTTAATAAGACAAAGCACGGCCCAGTAAACAGGGGGAAAAACACTACACACTGTACATAGCTAGGAAGAATCACCTACTCACTGAACAAATTCAATCTGAAGTTTTTCTCGTGGGGAATAGTAGCTAAATGCTGTTAATTAAGAATATGGGGGGGAAAGCATATATCACATATTTTCCACCACAAAAGACTCTACTTAACTGCCAAGAATATTCAACGGCTTGTGTTCTTTCACAGGCTGATAATATTTACGTAAAATAGGTTTTCCTAACGCATTTATTAATGGTAACTGGGAATCCCATAGCTAAGGGAGTTTTAATGATTCTAATGGAGAGATCAGAATTTGTACACACTACAAAGGTAAACAAATACATCTGTCAAGCATCTTCTTTCCTCCTGAGCCTCAGCTAGTACAATTAATCAAAATCTGATGATTGCTCTGCATAAGGAATGTGTCATTTGTCTTACAGATTTAAGTTGAAGAAAACCACACTTAAACATTTCAACTCCTTCTTTTAAAAATTACTCAAAAATAGCTGACAACAGAAACATAACATCTTGAATTCAGCATTTAATAAATGCTGAATTGTTTAAAACACAGTTGAAACTAGAATACTTGAACAAATATGCACACAGAAGAGTTACACATATGCAAGCCTTCTACTGAACTAGTTTTTAAGATCAGCATTATTATCATTGTGCAAAAGTGAAACTTTCATTTTCTGGACAAACAAGCTGAGTTCACATGCAATTAACAATAAAAAAGTGCTTTCTCAGCTTTCTGAAAGCTTGAAGTACAAGCATTTAAATGTTTACAGTTAAGTAAGCACCAGATTTTGTAAACTGCTAAGTAATGTTACACAGCCATCATTTCTAAGCATTCAAGTGAATTCTGCTAGGTGGGCAGTTCAGAATTTTACTTCAGTCTGACCTGGATATTATACCAGAAAATTTATTTTCCAATGAATTTAGTAAGAAACATTTAACAGGATACTGAAATATGGGTTTTTGACTGGTAAAAAGATCAATTATTAAAAAAACACTGAGGGAAGAAATTAATTTTAAAAGTAAATTTATGTTTAGTTTTGCCTCCAGAATTAAACCCTGCAAGATGAGTTTCCCCAAACTGCGCTTAATAAAATAATGCTGTCCTTGATGACAGGAGAGATAAAGCACTAATCAGCTCCAATGCCAACTACAGTATTTTAACAGAAATAAGATTTGTTGTGCTCCTCCTAGAGAAACACAGGCACACATCCAATAAGCAATCACAAGGGCATGAAGGCTTCAAATTTTGATTTCTCTGCTCAGCACTAACAGCATTCTACTACTGTCCCTTTGGTATATCCCCATAAAGCCATTCTACTACCACCCCTCTGGCAAAGCCCCATTTCTTTCTGTCAAGAGGCAGTACTGGAGCAGAAGGAGAAGGGCAGAAGGACGCCTTCCCTTTGCCAGCCATCACCTCCTCAGCTCACTTACATGCACGCTGGCTTTCACAGTTTGTTACTAATTCTTTCCTATCTTTCGAACGTAGCTGCAGTGTGTGTCCATAAGCAAACTGCCAGGTGGAAAACTCCCAGCTTTGCAGAAGGACTTGTGCAAGGAAAACACTGGGCAGGACGCGGGCTATTCCCACTGCCTTTTCCCCACCGCCTTCGCAGCCGAGATGCAATATCCCTGCAAACTCCTCCACTCCGACCCACCGGACCCGGCGTGGGCAACGACTACTGAGAGGTCAACCAGAAACTCCCAGGGGGGAGGGTGCGAACGGTGCCTCCGGGGTGCGCTGGAGGCCCGGGAGCTGCTCGCGCTGCTCTCCCTGAGCCAGGTGTCCCGGTGCCCCACAAGTTCAAGAGCCGGAGCTCGCAGGCCCCCGGCCCGATGCCGCTGCCGGGTGGCGGGAGCGCGGCGCCGGCCGAGGGGCCCCCGCGGCCCACCCAGGCGGGCGGAGGGCGGCAGCTCCTCCCTGCACACCGCGTCCGCCGCGCCGGGGCCGAGCGGGACCCACCCGGGGCTCCCCGAGCCCTGGGGGCCGGCCGTGCCCCCCTCCTCCGCCACGGGCCGCTCGCTCCGCCCGGGGGGGAGACAATGGGCACGATGACTTCACCTTCCAGCAATGTGAGGAACAGCGGGGGACGCCGCCGACTTCCCCCCGGGCCCTCTCTCCCCCAGGCTCGGGCTCCCGCCCAGAGGCGGCTCCGGCTCGGAGGTTCCGCTCCACCCCTCACCCGCCGCCACGCTCAGGGCGGCGGCCGCCGGCGGAGGCCCGAGCCGGGGGACGCCGCCACCTCCGGGCCCCTCGGCGCCCCCGCCCCGCCGCGGACCCACCCCCGGTACCTGTGAGTCGGCGGGAGGAAGCGGGGCTGCTCCGCTCGCCCGAGCCCGGCGCCGCGCAGGAAGAGCCTCCGTGCGTGTGTGTGTGCCTATGTGTGTGTGTATGTGAGTGTGTGTGAGTGAGTGAGTGAGGAACGGAGGGGGCGGCACCGCCCGGCCGGGCCGGGGCGGGGCGACGCGGGGCCGGGGCCGGGGCCGGGGCCGGGGCTGCCCGGCAGGGAGGCGGCGCCCGGGCCGTCGGTTTCCGCGACGCGCTGAGCTCAACGCGCACGGCGGTGCCGCCCCTCGCCCGCCCCCGGCAGGGCGGCCCCGGCCGCGGGAGCGCTGAGGACCCTGCGGTGGGGCCGGGGGCCGCTCCCGGTGCCCCCGCTCGCGGTGCGGAGCGTGCTCGGAGCCCGCGAGGCGGGCGCGGTGTCTCTGCCCCCGGGGCGGGGGACGCCGCAGCGCTGCCAGCTGCAGCAGCACTAGGTACAACGTTATATGCATGCACGATTCCGTGGGCTTCACACCCGTGGAAATGGAAAGTGCGAGGCGAAGAGTGAATTATCGGGGCGTTTCAAGAGGGTCGTGCTGCTGAGCGCTGATTCACTTCCCAAAATGACAAAACGCTGTTTCTGTGCTGTAAGATACAGATTTACCTTCTTTTCGCCCCACCTTGCCATTTGAACAAGAGTCGACTCGGAATCTGCCCACAAGCCCCCAGCTTTTCCTTCGTGGCACGGCCCTGTTCTGCCTTTAGCTGCGGTCAGCCCCGGCCTCCTTGGGCACCGGCGTCCAGCGGCCCCAGCCCCGGGCTGCCTCCGGCCCGCCTCTATCGCTCACCCGTCCGTGAGTTCGGGTTCTGTTTCCTTTCACTACCGAGCTTCATGCCATGTTCTGCATGATTCCCTCCCTCTGCAACCCTACCGTAGCTGCCCCCTCTCCCACAGCTTGCTTACTGCTCCTGATCTCCACTTCTGGCCCAATTCCGAATCTCCTCTGGCATGTTTCAGAATTTTCTGCCTACATTATTAATACATTGGGTTTAAATCGTCTGCTTTTTTTTTTTTTTTTTTCCCCTAGTTAATCATTCATACCGTCTCATATCATCTCAGAATTCTGTGGAACTGGAGCTAATCCTGTGGTTATGACTGGTGGTTCTTCCATTAAACTGGTATGAAACCTGAAAAGTTACTCTGGAAAAAGTTATTAATCACCCAGCCCGTATTTAAAACTGAATAAAATGTACCGTGCTTTCCTGTGGGATTTGCAGTGTACCATCAGTTAGAGGCTTGCACGTACACTTACCTTTATTTATGTGCATAGTTCCATTTAAGTCAATAGGACTACTTCCAGTGCATCAAATTCAAAGTAAATACAAGTCATCCCATGGTGAGATACTTAATCTGAAATGACAGAATAGACAATTACAACAAACAGGGAGGGGAAGTGGAAAATAAGGGTAACACCAATGAGATTATACTGGAATTTTGGCATGTTGTGTAGAAATCACGGCAGTTCCCTGTTTGCTTATAAAAAGCCTGTGGCTAGGTGAGTTGTTCAGGCTACAGTACTGCAAACATATACATGTCACTTAGGGCGTGGAAGTGGTGCCATTGGGTTCAGCTGGATAAGATACGCAGAAGTTTATTATATCTAATAACGTGCAGAGTAAAATCTTGGACACTTTGTTATCTATGAGATTTGATACAGGAAAAGGAAATTAGAGAAAGGGAATTAGCTCATAAAATGAGAAAAAGACAAGAATGGAGGTGCATGAGGGAAAGAAAATGAAGAGAGAAACAAAAAGATTAGCATATAGAATACCATGGTATGATAGTGAATAAAGTTTGGAATAGCAACAGCAAACCATTTTACCAGCTCAAATTTGCAGCTACCAATAAAACAAAAACCAGCAAGCAAAGCATTGCAGTAATGTATTACTTTCTAAATATCCAAAGGGATTCAGCAAATCAGTACAAATGTTCTGAAATCTCTTGGCTAGTGCTGGAGAGTAGGAGGGAAACAGAGCCCAGGTGTTTAAAATTCTGCACTGGGACATTGAGCAGTCACTGTGGTGATGAGATGGTTTCTCCTTGAAGCTGATGAGGGACAAAGCAAACCTCCAGCCAGCCACCTTCCTGAGAGCTTGGCAGTAGAGAGCCTGCAGCCAAGTAGGTGCCTTTCATCAGAAGTATTAAAAATAGTCAATTAACAAAATACACTAAGCATAGGGAAGAAAGTAACTCTTTTCTGCACAAGCTGTACACCAAAACTGGCAGTTGTTTATTTTGGTATGTAAGGAAGATACTTTTGTTTGCTTGCTTGCTAGTTTATTATTATAGAACAGGATGACAAAGAGGTATTAAGGAAAAGTAGGGCTGCTCAAACTCTTGAGTACAGAGGAAATACCTTATGCACACTGCATTTAGTGAGGCATGTAAGATTTAAGAATGCAAACTAGCCTGTCTTTCAAAACACTTTCTGAAGAACATCTAGAATTTAACCTTTGTGGGTATTTAATTCAGAAAAATACAAAGTATTATATCACAATACAAAAATACTGCCCTCAGAGCAAAACATCTGGTGTGTTCTAAGGAGGCACAAGCACACACAACATGCTGTCAAACATGGAAGGGTAAAAATTGTATCAGCATGAAGAGATGTGAGCAGAGAGGGCTGAGGAAGGAAAAAGTGCTTTTTATTGGTGATAAGGAATTGAGAAAAGGGTATGAGAAAGACAACCTCATCTCAATTTTCTATATCCTTCTCATAATCTCTGCTTATCTGGACTGCTTGCCTCAGTGTAATTTCAATATTTAAATATAAAGCACTGTTTTCTCATATGGTAGTGTAAAATCAGCACCTTGGGCCAGAATTTCATGTGTTGGTGGTCTTTTCTTTAAACTTGTATTGGAAGAGTATCAAATATGATGGGTAAACGTTTCCATGACTCTGATCTCACATCTGAGTCTCCCTTTGAAATCTTTTATCTGAATATTCAACCATCATCTTCAACATAAATTTGGCAAAGTGAAACTCTATTTTTGTATAGGTAATTTCATGTTTCCTGCAGGCTCTGTCATCATCTGGTCTGCAGCCCATCATTTCTAGGGAAAAACCTGTCCTCAACCCTTCCCCTTTTGACACACACATTTGTGTCCTTGATCTGTCTTTCATCTTGTTCTGAAGAACACCCTTTGTTGGAAAATTCACTCTCCTATATTTTCCAGCTCAACTGTCTTGCCAATTTATTTTTTTTCCTGGAGACTTTATTTTTAGCACCCCTGAATTTACTGATCTGTTTTACAGTGTTGCCCCACAGATGGCTGCATTTGCACAAAAAGCATTGCAGAAGATTGATGTGGCAGCAGGAACAAGTGGCATAGGGAAGGAAGAGAACTGTCTAGATCAATTTTGCCGCTGGAAAAAATGTAGTATGGAAATGCATTCTGACTTGCAACTAAAGAAGAAAGGATAAAAGCCTTTGATGAATTAAAATATCTGCAGTATGCATGGGTAGCAAAACAGAAATCAGGCATGCAAAAATAGGAAATATTAATAAATACCACTATAAAACTGATAAATATTATATAAATACAGCTAAGAGAAAAATTTCACAGGACAGGAATAAGTGTTGAATACAATCAGGTTTCTGTTTGCCCATTGTGAAAGATTATTTGCCGTGCACTGATTGTCATAAATTGTATTATGTGCCACAGATTAAAAAAAATAATAATAATACCTGTGTACCATGATGACAAGGCTAGGATAATGGATCAGTGACAAATAGAGCTATCTAATATAGATGCAATCTCACTGATCCAAGTTAGAAAGTGGCAAGATACCAGTAAATAATGTGCAAGCTGAGAACCTTCCAAATTTTTGGCATGTCATAAAACATTAAAGATGAAGGCTTCCACAGCCATTTCAAACATCTCAGATATCTTAGAATTACATCATCTGATCTAATCCGTTTCTGTAGTAGTCAATAAAGAAAAAGTAGAAAATTTATAATAAATAGAACTGCAGTCCCTAGAACATGCCTATTGCAGGAAAGAAAATTTGTTGAAATAGATAAAATTTATTTAGGTTTATTTCCAGACACTATGACAGAGAATAAAAATAGGTTGAGAAATCTGAGGGCCTGAATCCAAAAAGTGCTCCTAAACACGTATAAGGTGTCATTCAATTTACAAGACTACTATATGAGCTTAAAATTTCTCAAATGCATAAATCTGCTCCTAGATGTAGTATTTAAGCTCTGGAGGTAAGGAGTTGCAGGATGCAAAAGTGATACCTGTGTATTATCTTGGAGTTAGCTATTTTTAAAGACCAGTTTGCTATCACTGTCAATATCCTCAGGGAACCTCAATTTGTTAGAAAAATAAATGAAAGTCAAGTAAGAGTTATACTGCAAAAAAGCAGCAGACTGTAATTTCTGTTGCACAACACTATTTCCATTCTAGTCTCTTGAGCTTTCCTCCTCTTTTAGTCAGAACAGCCTGAAATTTCTGTTTTTCTGGGTTCAGACGTTATGTGCTTATTCTCTGCCCAAAGGTGAAATTGTTTCTGGAAATCTTGAGCAAGAATGTTTTTGCTGGTTTCAGTGTGAGAACAGTGGGATAAGGGAGGAAATGTTGCATAAAGGTAAAAGTGCTTTAGGGTTTTCTAAATAACTTTTTCATCATGATGAAGAGATGTGAAGAGATGAAAGTCGTGGTGGAAATAACCCTGCTCCGGGAAAACCTATACTTTCTCTAAAATTGGTCTCAAACGGGTCCTTCAAGCAGCATATACACTCCGTCTTTGTCAGAGCCAGGGAGCATTTACACTTGATCTTTCCTGAGAGGAAGGGCAACTATCTGCTCAGATTTAGCTGTCCTTTGAGTCACAAACAGCTCCTCCGTGTTTTCATGGTGACACACTGACTGACTGTACCCCGAAGTCCTGCCCTGTTACTGCCTAATTCTTCTTCGGATTGGCTCATCTGCAGTGTTTAAAAATCTAAACCACATCTATGGGCCAATGAGGGGCTCTGTCAACTGTCTGTGATACGTGCAGAAGCAGAGTGTTTCTCCTCAAGAGCACCTTCCAATGTCTGCTGACCTGCCTCGAGTCCATGGCCAGGAGGTCAGTGGAGCTGAAGACAGCATGTGTTTGCAGCCAGGGTACCAGCTGCTAGCCGGGACATCAGAAGGGAGGGATTCTGGCCAGGCATGGCATGGCACAGCCCATAGTCACATGCTGTCACAGGTGATCATGCCAGGTGTTACATGTCCCTCATGAGCACACAATGGACAAAGACAGTGAGCAAAGTGTCCTTCTCAGCTGAATAGGGAGTGCTCACAGAAACAGGGGCATTGCTATGAGCACTGGATTAGTGGATGAAAAGGACAGAGGTGGTGAGGAGTGGTTGCCTTTAGCCCCTACTTAGGAAACACATTTTCTCATGCAATAGCTCTGAGAGCCAACAGCAAGCAGCAGTAGGACACAGGAGCTCTGTGCAGAGAGCTTTTCAGAAGTTTGTCATCCCTCCTGGCCTCACCAGGGCAGATGAGCCATAGGAGAGAATCACTTGCTGTACGTGGGGAGCTGCAAGCACAGCTCTGCCAGATTGTCTGGCAGTTCCCACTTAGGGTAAAACATTCTGTAGCCCCAGCCACTGCCAAGGGCAGATGACACGAGCAGAGCACTCTGATGCAGCCTGATTCTCCCCAGCATCAGCAGGGGAATCCTACAACTACAGTGATCTCCTGCATGCACTAAGGCAGGCGCTGGGATGGCCATTTCACCATGAGCATTGTGCTCATGCCTTCCTTCCTGCCAGCATCACTGGCAAGTTTGCTGTTTACTGTGACTGCTCTCAGCATGACCCTCATAACGCAGCAATTCTGGCCTTTACCTCTTGCCCAGAAGTCTCTTCTGTTGTCTCTGTTTCCTCAGGCTAGCCAGAACCAGGCCTTCCAGAAGTGTAAAACTCTTTCTTCCTTGCATGAATCTGACCCCAGATATAAGTTAACAACAGCAATTTCCTGTGGCCAGGAGCACGCAATTCCAATGCTCTCTCCAACAGTTTCCAAGACTTCAAGCCTCTTTTGCATCACACAGAGAGGCCAATGACTGCAATGATATGAGTTTACCTAGGAATGCTACTTTGACAGAGAGCTCTAAATACTGTTTTTGATTC